TGGCCATTTGGGGGTAGTGAGGAAGAACAGCCTGGTCACTCTTTCCAGAATCTTCCAAAATTCTCAGGAAAGAATTAGACATCCTGGGGCCAGTGCTGAGGCTTTGCAGGTAAAGCCACGGCTTGCAATGCTGGTGTCTCTTATGGGTGCTGGTTTGAGTCCCAGCTGCTCCACTTCCCATCCAGCTCCCTGCTAATGCACCTGGGAAAGCAGTAGAGGATGGCCCAAGTCCTCGGGCCCCTGCACCTGCATGGGAGACCAGGAAGAAGCTCCTGGCTCCCGGCTTCAGATCAGTTCAGCTCCAGCCGTTGCGGTCATTTGGGGAGTGAACCAACAGATGGAAGATCTCTCTCTCTCTCTCCCCCTCCCTCCCTCCCTCCCTGCTTATCTTTCAAATAAATAAAATAAATCTTTAAAAAAAAGATTTTGACACCCTGAAGTCCCACAGGAGAAGGGGGCAGGGGCAGGGGCAGCTGCTGGTGTGTCCCAGAGGGTGAGGAGATGAGGAAGACCTGACTCAGAGCACTCTGAGAAAGAAAGCAGAATTAAAAAATCTAAAAGACCAAACAGAAGAAGAATCTCTGCTCAAAGAAAGACCCGCGTTTGCTAAGTGAGCGAGGCGTGCACCTTGCAAGCGCTGTGTCAAAGGGGGTCAAAGGAGCTTGGAGAAGACTCCCCAGCAGAAGGAGGACAAGGACAAACCAGGTGCCTCTGTGGCAGCCGGTGCAAGGTTGGCCCTGGATGTTGTACCCGGAATGAGGTGCAACACGGAGTTCCAGAAGGCACTGGAACACCACCACTGTGGAATGTCCCCAAGAACCTTCTCGGCGTCAAATGCCCCTCTGAATACGCAGGCAACCACCAGATGTTTTAAGACAGTAGGAGGTTTACAAACCAGATCAAAGTTCTGCAGACATGGAATCTTCTAGAACATGGCAGAAAGGGGCCACTCAAGCCTTGTGGACCCCTGGCGGGCCCGCCGCCCTCCGAGCGGCTGAGCGGCCAGGGCCGTGCTGGCTTCTGCTGCTTGAGCCATATCTGCCGGCTTGCTCGCTCACTCGTTGCACAAGGTCAGGAAGTGTGCTGGCGCCACGCCCTCCGCCCGGCGGCTCAGACGGAATCTTGCCTGCACCGGGTGACCACCGAGAACAATACCAGCTGCCACCGGCTTCCTGAGCACCACAAGCGCTGCCCTCCCGGCCACCATGGCTTTTGGAGCGGTCCTTTGTTCCCCCTCCCCCAAGGCTGCGGGGACAGGATCCCGAGTGGGAGGCTTCCAGTCCAAGCCTGCTCTGGGGGCTGCTGTCCTGTGGACGCCAGCTCGGCTTTTATTTGCAGAGAGGGAGCAGGGGCTGGCAGGCTGTGGGATGGGGCAAAAGGGTCCCCTGTACCCCAGCCACGGGGCCTGGTGGGGGCAGCCAGAGGCCTGTGCCACACAGGCCGCTCCCCAGCCCGGGGCCTCTCTGTCACACAACACCAGGCCGCCCGCGGGGACTGCTTGCTGGGCCTTGAACTCTCGCTCACGTGCCCAGCGACAAGGTCCTCTCCTGAGGCTGCAGCTGCCCCCAGCCCGCCCCCTGGAGTCTGCACTGCAATGGTGCCACTTCCCCTTTCCTTGTTCTCCTCCCCTCCCCCCTCCTTCCCCCTCCCCTTTCCCCTCTCCCCCCTTCTTTCCCCTCCCCTCTCCTCTCTCCCCTCTCCCCCCTTCTTTCCCCCTCCCTTTCCATCCCATTTTCTCCCTTTTCCCTGCTCTCCGGCCCCCCCACCCCGAGCATCAGGTAGGACCCATGCATCCTAGGCAGTGGGCATGATGGAGTCCTTTGACACCTGCTCTTCTCACCACAAACAAGACAGCAGCGGCTCCCCACGCCAACAGCCCGCCCCCGCCCCGGCATCTCACCCACGCCACCTCTCTGGCCGATTCTGAGCCACTGCACCAGAGGCCTGTGTGTGGTTTCCACTCCTTGCCCGAGGTCTCGCGGCTGGCAAAGCCTGGATGGAGCCCAGCTCCCGGCCGCGAGTAGAGGCGTCTGCTTTGAGCCAGGTTCCTCACTGGTTTCCCACAAGGGCCAGTTTGTGAGCAGGCGTGACCACAGCCGTGTAAAGCACAAGAGGCCAGGGCCTTGCGGAAGCCACCCTTGTGCCGCGAGGCAGCAGGCTGGGCTCGTCCTTGCCCAGGGAAAGCGTTGGAAACACTTCCTGGGCTGGAGAAAACAAGGCCGAGTGGACAGGGGCGGTCTGGAGACCCGGCATGGGCGCCAACCTCTGCAGGTCCCGGCGACACTTACATTTGAAATCAGGGAGTGGAAGAGCCAGCTTGCACGCTTGTGAGTGTGCAAAAGGCAGGGGGGTGGGGAGAGCTGCTGCGTGCCAGGGTCACCCTCCCCCCAGCCCACGTGGGGCTATCAGAGGCCACAAAGTCTGAACCAACGATGCAAGGAACAGAGACCGGCCGCCCCTCTCCGGCTTTGACAAGACAGCAGCTCCGGCGAGAGGAGCTCAGATGATGATCACAAGAAGCAGCACCGCCATTCAGGGCCTCCCTGCCCTGCCGCCAGCTGCTTGTCTGCACGGCCTGGCAGCCCTGCAGACTCGGTGTCGGGGGCGACTTGTTCAGACACGGGGCTCAGCTCAGGAAAGAGGGGGAGCTGGAGAGAGAAACCCGAGATAAAACAAGCAGCGATCGGTGGCTGTTGGAGCCTCCTAAGACATGGTGGCCGGCTTAATTGGGCGTGAGCGCACGCTGGCTCCTCCTTCCTTTTAGGAGGTGTATCCTATAGGAAGGCTCAGATGCCCTAAGCCCATAGCTCCCGGGGCCTTGGCTACCTGGTGCTGGCCACCGGGCTTGGGAGCAGATGTAGTCAGCAAGGCCACTCCTCTCTCTGAAGACTGCCTGGCCTTGGCCCCCACCTGTGTGCAGTGGGCAGGAACCCGCTCCCAGACAGCCAAGTCATACAGACTAGGGGCCCTGAGTGGCCCAGCCAGAGAAAGCCGTTGGAGGCGGAGCCAATCAGATTCCCCCGAGACTGAGAAGGGAGCCTGTTGGGAGGGGAAGAGCAAACCCACAGAGAAGAGCTGAGTCATGGAGGTGGAAGCCGGGGGCAGGGCCCCGAGCGCTTCTGGGCTAAGCCTGGGGGCTGTTGGGCAGTACCCCTCTGCTTCTCCCCTGCCCGACAGGTCTCCCCGTGGCTCCCCGAGCTGGCCCAGGCCCCAGACCGGCCTCTGCTCCCTGCAAGCCCTCAGTCCTGATGACGCTGCCGCAGGGCAGGTGGCCATACACAGAGACACAGTGACAGAGCATGATGGCCCAGGGGCCCAGTCTCAAGGCCCTGGACCTATAGGTACCGGCTATGGGCACAGATGCCACGAGGCGCCCTGAAGTCACGGCTTCTCCAGTCATACTTAAAGTTGTGTTGGCTTTGAAAGGCTGGAAGATCAAAGGCACTGATCGACTTTGAACTTCAGACTCCGTTCAATAAACCAAGGGTGCCATCTATTCAGGGAGTTCCTGGACTTGGGAAGACCCCGGAGGTCATTGGTCCAACCACCTGCCAGTTATCAGCAGGCCACGTCCCTCCTAGATGAGGAGCCCACATGGGGGCCAATGTAGCACATGTCGAGTAACTGCCAAGTTCTCTAAAGGGGGGTCTCACCTAAGGCATGCAGCCATCTGCCCCTGGTAACATCTATCAAGGACCAGGCCAGGCCCGTGGGCAGCCTAGACCAGCTGGACGCCTCCAGGGGAAGCACGTTGCATACTGGTGCAGGTACACGCCAGGGAGGGCTGGAAATGCCAGAGGCAAGGTCCAGCCCGACCTCTGTCGGCAGAACAATTCTGCTCCAGCCCACACCGGCATCTGCTGTGGAAGTAATGCAGGCGTCAGGGCAGGCAGCTCCAAGCCCCGCTCTGGGTCTTATTCTCTGAACCAAGCGGCTGGTGGAAGGGACCCCTTTCATCCTCGTAGCCTCCCTGAGAGGCACTTAGCCCAACACAGCTTCTCCCTCGGGACTAATCACTGGTGATGTTTGTCCCAGGGACCGGCCAGCGGTCCAGCCCTTGAGCCCAGCTCCATGTCTGCTCCTGGATCCTAGTTCTGCACAAAGTGAATCACTCCCTTGGAGTCTGAGACACCCGCCGTGGTGCCCTTGACTCCGGCTCTCACTTCTGGTTTCTGTTTAACCTCCTGCTGCCCTTCCAGGGCTCGGAGACCAAACTCCCGTCCATCCTGGCCGCCCTGCCTGCTCCAGACATGGACGGACGCCATGCCCCGTACCGGGGTACCCGAGGACCAAGCATCACACACACCCTCTTCCCCACCAAGGACGCGAGACCTTCACCTCCTCCCTTCTTCCCTCCCCCATTTTTCTGTTAAGGCAGCCGGATCAAAGCAGCCACATCACTCAGCCGTCACACCTCGGAGTTCAACAAAGCTCTGGGTATTTGTCACATGTGCTGTGCTGGGGGTGGGGGAAGGGGAAGAGTGGTCTCTCTCAGGCTTAGATGGCTACGGCTGAGTTTTGCTTTTAAATCCATCTGCCAATTTTGCACATTCAGACTTCACGCGGAGGGATCAGACCTGGGTGGAGCTGGGCTCTGCAGATGGAGGGTCCGGCTGACTGCTTGTCTCTAAGCAACACAGTCCACTCTGTCCACTGCCCTGCTCCCACTCACCCGAGAGCCCCCGGGAGAGGATGGACACAGCCACGGCCACCGGCTTCCCCTCTGCTCCAGGCATCCTTGACCATCACCGCCAGACGCAGGAGCCCCGTTAATGTCTCCTTGATGCCTGCTCCTTTAGTCACACATCGGGCACTCTGGGGTCACAGTTTACCCGCTGAGCCGCCCCATGGACTTCTGGGAGAAAGAAAAGCTCACTCGGGCCCTTGTGTCACAGCTGCTTAGCCGCGGGCCATTGTCTTCCTCTCTCTCTCTCTCTCTCTCTCTCTCTGCTGGGGTCAGCCCAAGTTGAGGTCAAGTGTCCAGGTGTCTAAGGACTCACCTGCACAGTGAACTTGTCATCTTCGTTGGGCAGGATTCTGTAGGTGTAGACGCAATTCCGATACCTGAAAGAGACCAAAGACTGCATCAGCAGTCACCCTTGGACCCGAGGAGACAAATCTTCCTGACCTGGCTCCAGGCAACTGGGCACCAAGTCCCCGCACCTTGCAGCTGCCCGTTCTCTGAGCTGGAGGTGAGCGTGATACCCAGCGGGTCTGGACGGAGGCACTGCTGGCTCAGCCCGCCCCCTCGGCCCTCCAGGAGTGGCAGGAAGAGGCAGGTAGGGGCCTTTGGGCACAAACGCTTTGGGGAGGGGCTTCCTCAGCCACTCGGCCACCATGTTGGCTCAGAGAACAGAGCCAGAGGAGGTGCTGGGAGTTGAAACCAGATTCCTGGGGGGCTGGGCCAGAGGGTCACAGATCAAGGCGAGGCTCACGCGGGGCCGCTGGTGAGTTCCTGCACGCTGTGCTGTGGGCTTGCTGTCCCAAGGTGGGGGCACCCCTTCAGAGACCCGCCTGCACCCCAGCAGCCGGGGAGCCGGCCTCTGAATGGTTTCCAGAGAGGAAGCGCTGGGAATTCCAGGTCCCCTTCTCTCTCTGGAGCTCAGCCATCCTTATCCTTGGTTTCAGGGATGTCCCCTGGAGGTGCGGGAGAGGAGGAGGAGGAGGAGGAATTTTTACCTCCCTCTGAGAGGAAGGGGAAGGGGTGGAGGGTGGGAGTCCTGGGAGAGGGGTGTCCTGCTGGGCAATCTGAGCCGCGCGAGCACAGACAGCCACAGGCGTCCGGCAGCTCCTGTGAGTTCAGGCGAATGCTCTGTGGATCTAGCACTCTTCCCCAAGGTGGCTGGCACGTTCTTTCACCTCCCCCCATACGGGGTTCTCCAGGACCCTGAAGACTCGCCCACGCCTCTGAGCCCCCAGACAACACTCAGACTACTGCTCAGCCTTCCCACGTGCCCGTGCTTCTCGAAGCTTCTGCAGATGGCACTACACAACAACGTTCGCGAAGGCTGAAGACCACACGTACCATACAGAGACCAAGCGGCAGCCCTTGAGCCCCACTTTTTTAGGGTCACCACTCCTACCTGTAGAATGTCCCAGAATTTGTCAGCCACACACACGCATGCACAAGCTCGTGTCTGCAAATCTTTTTAAAGGCCAACGATATCACAGTGTATAGGTGTATAGGTTGTTCCGAAATTTGCTATTTTTGCTAAAAAAGAAATCATAGAAGCCTGTTGCGACAGCTGAGGGAGGTGGCTCATTTGCCACATTTGTTCCACCTAGCGGCTGGACCGCTGTGAACCTGACCCGACTCAGATTAGCACAGGAGGTTGTTTTTAGAGATTTATTAATTTATTTGAAAGGCAGAGTGAGAGAGAGAAGGAGAGACAGACAGAGAGAATCTTCCATCAGCTGGTTTACTCCCCAAATGGCTCCTACAGCCGGGGCCGGACCAGGCCAATATCAGGAGCCAGGAGCTCCATCCGGGTCTCCCACATGGGTGGCAGCAGCCCGAGGGCTTGGGCATCACCTGCTGCCTTCCCAGGTGCATTAGCGGGAGCCGGGTCCAATGGCACAAGGCAGGGCCCCAGAGGTTACTGTTAGCTCTCTGCTGGGCCGGGGATGCTACAGTGAGCCTCTCTGTTCCTACCGCTCAGACATGAATGAATTCAGCTTCCTCATCCGTAAGCTGGGGAGGGCGATGACACAACATCCCCGCGTGGCTGTGTGCAGTCAACACGTGCATGCGTCTCCAGAGGGAACCTGGTGCAGGCCGGTCGCACGCAGTGGCTTTTCCTCGTGACAGTTCCTGAATCAGCAGAGGGAGCCAGGTGGGCCGCGACGTGGGCATTTGACGCTGTGTTGCACGCTGTGACAGACACCGGCCATTAGCACCTGCCGCGAGGCCGTGTCATTCTGCTCTCAGACCAGCCGGATGTCAAGAGTCTGCTTCCCCACACCCTGCCAGCTGCCTGCTATCAGACTCTCTCATCTTTGCAAGTCAGAGGGGAAAGAAAACCCCAGCTCGCTTTAATCTGCCTTTTATGAGGAAGGTTCCACCATCCTCATGACAGTGATCGGAATTTTTTCTGAGAATTCCTTTTCCTGTCATTGGCTTACTTAAAAAAAAAAAAGATTTATTTTATTTGAAAGGCAGAGTTACAGAGAGAGAGGGGAAAAGATGGAGAGGGGGAGAGGGGAAAAGAGAGAGAGAGGGAGAGGGGGAGAGGGCAGGAGAGGGCAGGGGAGCGGGAGGGAGAGGGGGAGGGGAGGGGGGGAGGGAGAGGGGTCTTCCATCTGCTTGTTCACTCCCCAAATGGCCACAATAGCTAGTGCTGGGCCAGACAGAAGCCAGGAGCTTCTTCCAGGTCTCCCATGTGGGTACAGGGGCCCAAACACTTGGGTCACCTTCTGCTGCTTTCCCAGGCACATAAGCTGGGAGTTGGATCAGAAGTGGACCTGCTGGGACTTGAACCAGGACCGTATGGGACGCTGGTGATGCAGGCGGCAGCTTTACCTGCTGTGCCACAACGCAGACCCTGGCTCCCTTTTCTGGGTATCGTCTTTGGCTTCTTAGAAGACTCTGATACACGCTACAACATATTTTGGGGTTATTTAACAGTGCTTGTGGACTTTTTTTTCTTTTTGCTATTGTGGAAGATTTATAATCTCATGTGGGCAATCTTACGATCTTTGGTTTCACGGGTTTGAAGCAGTGGGTGTTTCAAGAGCATGGCCACAGAATGTGGAGTCGCTTCACTCGCACCTTCTCTTCCCTTCACACGGGAAGGGTGCACTTTGGTTCCTTTGGTTCCCACATTTCTGCCCCAGGGGCAGAATCCAGAGCCTGAATCCAGACCATAATTGCCTTGTATCAGAGAGGGCCCAGGCGAATGTCCAGTCCTCACTGCCCAGAGACACCCCAGGGACACATAGAAGCACCCCAGCACCCACCTCACCCCCTTCCCCGTGGCCCCCATCACCGGCCCCTCTGCAGGCCTGCCAGACGCCAGACAAACGGGAGAGGCCGGCTCCACCTGCTCTGCTCTCCTCTCTCAAAGCTCTGCTCTCGACACCTCCTCCTGTAGCTGTGCAGACGAGGCCCGCTGAGGGCCGCCAACGCATGGAAGAGCTGGAGCAAGCCCCCAACCCCGCGTTACACAGAAAGAGCAGAGACTCACAGGAAGACGCCAAAGCAGCCACACGGGGCAGGAGATCCGCGCGGCAGACGCACTGCCCTCCCTGGATGCGCTAGAAACAGTGAAACAGAGACAGCCGCTCCTCGCTGAGGCGGGTGCGAATCCACAAGCCAGTCCACTGGGCAGCGAAGACGCCTCCCTCGAGACACACGGCTGCTGAAGCCCCTGCCGGGCTGTGTGGGGTCACTTGAGCTCTCCAACGGGACGCACAGGCGTCACCAGCAGCCAGCAGAACAGTAGTGGTTCCCAAGTGCACACCACGGGTGCTGGGGGTGCCGTGGGGCCACCCCTATTCACCACACTGCACCTCGTCCTGGTCCTCTGTGCAGCCCATACACATCCGTGCATCCGTGTGCACACCTAGCTCACACAAGCACACACACATGCTGCTGTGCACACAACACGCTCAGCCCTTCTCCTCTCTAACGCTGTTTGTGGGTGTTTTCTCTGTGTGTTGGCTAAGACTTCTGGGTGCAGCAGGGGTGAGATCAGGGCCTGGGAAGCCCCTAAGCAAAAAGGCGCCTTGGGCTGACTTGGACCTAAGAAAGCCCCGCGTGGGAAGCGAGGCGTGCAGCAGCCACCACCCCAGATCCCAGCCAGAGAACACCATGAGTGACGGCTGCTGTGGGCTCATCCAGAAGCGGGGAGGCGGGAGGGGGTGGACAGAGCCAAGAGGTGGGGGGGTGAGCAGTGAGAGGTGGGGTGAGCAGGTGAGGACAGATGGGGTGAGCAGTGAAGTGAGAGGTGGGGGCGAGCAGGAGAGAGATGGCAGGTGAGAGGTGGGGTGAGCAGGTGAGAGGTGGGGTGAGCAGGTGAGAGGTGGGGTGAGCAGTGAGAGACGGGGTGAGCAGTGAAAGGTAGGGGTGAGCAGGTGAGAGGTAGGGGTGAGCAGTGAGAGGTAGAGGTGAGCAGTGAGAGGTAGAGGTGAGCAGTGAGAGACGGGGTGAGCAGTGAAAGGTAGGGGTGAGCAGGTGAGAGGTAGGAGTGAGTAGAGAGAGGCAGGGGTGAGCAGGTGAGAGGTGGGGTGAGCAGTGAAAGGGATGAGCAGGTGAGAGGTAGGGGTGAGTAGAGAGAGGTAGAGGTGAGCAGGTGAGAGGTGGGGTGAGCAGTGAGAGGCAGGGGTGAGTAGTGAGAGGCAGGGGTGAGCAGTGAGAGGTGGGGTGAGCAGTGAGAGACAGGGGTGAGTAGTGAGAGGCAGGATGAACAGGAGGGAGACAGGGGTGAGCAGTGAGTGGCAGGGGTGAGTAGTGAGAGGTAGAGGTGAGCAGTGAAAGGCAGGATGAGCAGGAGAGAGATGGGGTGAGCAGTGAGTGGCAGGGGTTTGGAAGAGAGGACAGGTAGGGGTGAGCAGGTGAGAAGCAGGGGGAGGAGGTGAGGACAGGTGGGGTGAGCAGGTGAGAAGCAGGGGAGGAGGTGAGGACAGGTGGGGTGAGTAGTTGAGAAGCAGGGGGAGGAGGTGAGGACAGGTGGGGTGAGCAGGTGAGAAGCAGGGGAGGAGGTGAGGACAGGGGGTGTGTGCAGGTGAGAAGCAGGGGAGGAGGTGAGGACAGGTTGGGTGCACAGGTGAGAAGCAGGGGGAGGAGGTGAGGACAGGTGGGGTGCGCAGGAGAGAAGCAGGGGAGGAGGTGAGGACAGGGGGTGTGTGCAGGTGAGAAGCAGGGGAGGAGGTGAGGACAGGTTGGGTGCACAGGTGAGAAGCAGGGGGAGGAGGTGAGGACAGGTGGGGTGCGCAGGAGAGAAGCAGGGGAGGAGGTGAGGACAGGGGCTGTGTGCAGGTGAGAAGCAGGGGAGGAGGTGAGGACAGGTTGGGTGCACAGGTGAGAAGCAGGGGAGGAGGTGAGGACAGGTGTGCAGGAGAGAAGC